TATGACATATGCTCTGTCAAGTGCGAGCTCTCCAAGAATCCCAAGTAAGCATTCTACACATGGCATGCATATGCGAATGTGTGTAGTACAGCAACATCTACTCAACTACTTTCCCACATCATCTCGTGTATCACATTTTATATTCTTCTTTTCCCATCCAACTCTTACATTTCTCTTCTTATGCAACCTTCATTTGGATTAGATGCATTCTGTCCACTTTTGTTAAGCTATGCTCATTGTCTTGTTTGCTCTCTTTTGCCACCTTCCAATTTCTACCTTGCACCATAATTCCTATTTGCCTATAGCATCGTGTACTAAGCTGTCACCAAGTTTCTCATTAACTATGCCAAAGTTCCAAGCGCGCTACACTATTTGATTCTATTCTTTTGCACCATATTCACTAGCTCCAACACTCTTTACATTTTGACATCCTTCTGATGTGTATGTACTGTACTGTTCAGATGGTCTGTTGGTAGGCTGGGTGGTGTGCTTGTTTGGGAGCACAGAAAATCGCATGCACGCATGTCAATTGAGGACCACAACATTCCTTTGAGTGCATTCACTCCTACTCCCTTGCGTGAACTCTTCTCCTCTGATGATTCCGCGCGCCGTCAGGTCAGTAAGCATGTCACATTATACTATGTACTAACCGACCACGACAATTCTGTCATAGTTGTAATCTAACGTATTTTGCTACCCATCATTTTTTATCTCTCCACTCAACATCATACTTTTACTATTGCTTGGTAACCTCTCACACGTATTCACCACAAGTTCCATCATTCCTGTTTTCCTTTTTTTTTTTTTTTTTTTTTTTTTTTACTAACAGGTTTCCTCGTTCATTGTGGAGCTAACCATCTCTGACGTGGATCCTTACAGCAAGATGTCGTGTGTCGTGGGTATCCTACGTGATAGGAGTGGCACGTTCGGCCTAACTGCATTAGGCTCCATGGCAGACCGCATTCAGATGATAGTGGAAGAGCAGCGGCATAACACCGAGCTGACAAAAACCCCTGTGATTGTATGGATTACAGAGATGTACCAGGAGGACGGCCAAATCAAAACTACGAAGAGGTGCACCATTTTTTATCGACTATTATTCTCTCGTTACACCTATTGCTAGACGTACACTTAGCGTTCGTCTGCGTGTAGTCTGACGTAGATTGCATTGTTCTTCTACTCGTACTTAGAGTGAGTCAACTTCTTCTAGGTGGTTCTCGTAATTCTCCTATTCCTCCTATCCGCATTGATATGCGTATCAATATAACCGTCGCATCATTTCTTATTCACCAACTCTTATTCTTTATTATACACTTCTTTATCGCCCCTTATTCAGATCCAGGATTATGAAGGTTACGGATAAGGTCGTTGTCGCCCGCATCAAGCAGAGTCTGACGCGTGATACTTTGGATTGCGCTAACCTCGGTCTCGTCACGACGTACGTTTGTTTTTGTTCTTGTTTAAGTGCATTTCACATTTACATTATCGCTATACTCTACTTGTGTGGTGTTCTAAACAACATGCTTCTACATTTATAAAACGTCCATGCAATTAATATGTATGTGTGTATCATTTTTTACAACAATCCCGTGTTCAGTTTGCGAGCAGTGGAGAACAATGTCCGAGCATTAGGACGAGCTAATACGTGCACAATGAATGTGGACGTAACCTCTACCTGTATCAACACGGCATGGTTCTGCTCGTACAAGTCATCGTGCGAGAGCAGTGACGTGTGCGGCTTTCCTGTTGGGTGGTGCTGCTCCAATGATGGTTATCTTTGTGACTTGGGTCATGTATCAGAGAGTGCCGTCGAGCGCGACAACATTGTCGTTGTCTTCAACCCGCCAACAGGTGTTGTTTGTGGTTTGTTACAATTTCAAACCCATACCATTCTAATTGTGCATTTTATATAGTATGGTTCATGTTCATATTCGCTAAGGATTTCTCTTTAAGCTATCAAAATATGCTCCTAGTTTATTTGTTGTTTGATCATTTGTTTGTTTTCCTATTCTCCTTCGTTTATTAATTATATTTCCCCATGATTATCAACCCGTATGAAAGATGGCAAGTTCACACGCACAGGTGTACATGCTACTATAAGCATGAGCGCTCTCAAGGACGGGCTGGACGGTTTCAGCATCGCAGCATGGACACAGGCGGGACTGGATGCAAAGAAATCAATGTTGTCAACCTTGGTTGGGAATCGTTGGCTTATCCTGGTGCGAGCACAGCATCATCAGATTTGTTCAAATGTGCTTAGCGGTTGTACATCTTGCACTTTGGTGAGTTAACCCTTATATTTTCTTTCCGTCTAACTTTCTTGATTATGATCTTATTGTAGATGGAAACAAAGGCAGCAGGAGATGGCTTTCAGAGGACTATCAATTCACTAGCTTTTGTTTCCTCGACTGTAAAGGTATGAATTCCAAACTTGTTATATTCTACAGCTGCCCTTACAATTACGCATGCCAGCATGGATAATACGTACCCTGTTCATGAATGAGGACGAGAAGCCAAAACCTGTGCATACCCTGTTTTATTTGTTGCAACAGAAGGAGGATGTATCAACTAAAAACGACAACAAGAAGCGCCCTGCAGAGGACAAGCCACCTGTCATTCCAACAACTCCATCCAAACTCATTCAGCGCCGTAATGGTCATGTAAGAATACTTATTTACTGTCTTAAGAAATCAATGTGGTCAGCGTCAGTTTTGTCTGCTCTCTTGTTTGTTTTACTTCTTAGTTTCATCCCATATTCCGCACTAAACTGTAAACCCCTAACGCAATATCTAACACCATCAGTGCATACAAACAAATCATGTGGTATACTTTTGAACGTATGTTGTGTTTCTATGATTCATTGGTGTACTGTGCAGGTCATGTAGCACGCGCTCTCTGTTCCAGACGCAAGACAAAGAACATCTTCCAACACCAATTTCTATTGCTTGTTGGAACATCTTGCGGGGACAAATTTGTGATTGCACGGCGTTACCACTGTTCTCTAATTTGGATATAGGGGACTCCAACTACTAGGCTATTTGCGATGCTGCATGTGTCTGCTTGATTGTTGTTTGCATGAGAGGGGTGTGCATGGGTTTGATAAATACTGTATGTGTCGAGGTGTGTCTGCTGCTCTTAGTCTCTATGTGCATAGTGCGTGTGGCTGCAAATGTGATACGGCATGGATTGTGTCTGCTTCGGACGTGCTGCTTATATGCAAGGTGTTGCAATAAGAGGTTGTCATCGTGCCTGGGGCAACTCTGTTGTCATCGCGCACCCCATCAATCTCTGTTGCAACATTGACGCATATATGCAATCGTTTCGTAGCACTCACAATCCTATCGTACATAGGTACATGTTCATTCCGACCACCATATTTAACGACGAGATCGGGTGGCTAGCACGAGGTGTATTTGGATTGTGTTTGCCTCGAGCGTGCTACTTATAGGCTAGGTGTTGCAATTAGAGATTGTCATCGTGTCCGGGGCAGCTCCGCTGTCATCGTGCACCCCATCAATCTCTACTGCAACACTACTAATGCCTACATGCACTCGTTTCTTGGCATTTGCAAGCCTACAGTATGTTTAATTATACATAAATTTTTGTTGAAATGTGTCATGCGGTCTGATTGTTCCATCCGCCGTACTTATCGACGCGATGGAGCACTTTGGACATTTGGATTCATATTTTGGAGTTGCACCGAACAGTTAACTAAATTCTTAAAATTTTTACTGTTCGTATCAATGCTCCGAAATGTGAAACCGATTTTATAGGGTTGCTACGCAACCCAAAAACGAGCTCCCCCCCCCCCCCCCCCCCCCCAATCAGATCAGAAAACCCCACTAATGTTGATGATTGAGAACTGTTCATGGTGCGTCAGATTAGAAAGATGTTGTTTTTAGGTTGCGAGAACTGATCTATACCGTACAGATCAGCCGGTCAAAGTTAATGATCTGTCAGCAAATTACCCTTGTTGTATGGCGTCCCATCAGGTTAGGATCTCGCTTCCTAAGGGCGTGTGGCTAGTTTAAAAACGAACGGAGCGATGGGACAGGAGCGGAAGAGGTGGAAACCCGTCGCAGAGTGGTGATCGCAGGCACTTCGCAGAAACTGTCTGTGTGGCAAGTGACCACTGTAGAAACAAAGCATGGGAGAGGAGCGGAATTTCGGGGCAAAATAGGAACAGCCTGGTCACCAAAAAAGAACCTGACTGGCTGCCAAATGCGAGCTGGCGAAGAAGCCTCCCAGGAGCAAACGACATTGCAAAACGATAGGGAAACACAAAACACAGCCAATCACAGAAAACCTATGATGCAAACTCAGGGCTTGATGTAGAAGGCAGTTGCAGTAGTTGCGACTGCGATGGTTATTGGGTTCGCGAATTTTGCGATTGTCGCAATTTTGCAGTTTGCCCATTTGCAGTTTTGCCGGGGTCGCATGTTGGGTTAATTTTCGTTCCGGGCAGCGAGTACACACTCCTGTCCGTGTGGCAGATGACCACTGTAGCATCAAAATGGACGGAGCTCCCGTCCCATGTTTTGGGAGTTCGGGAGCAGAACGACAGGAGGAGCGGAGCGGAACAATCGGAATTCTACTTGCCACACACCCTAAGGGGCAGATGCCTCATCGACACCATCGGTTGTGTGTTTGTGGATTTCCGATGTGGGAGCAGATTCATCCACGTGGAGATCTAACACTTCCGCAGAACGCATACGTCATTGTCCACGAATCACTGCGCGCCCTACAAGACAGCAGCCTTTCGTGGCATTGGATTGAAGCGCTCAAGCATGCATTTGGCGACTTTGACCCAAAACTTGGCCTCTGTTGAGATATGTACAGTATACGGTGTCTCCCCCCCCCCCCCCCCGCCCCCCTCCCTTACTGGCCCCGTTTCTCTCCCCCTAGTCACTCGCAGCTGATCACCTCACCTTGTTGTACCGCTTTCGACCCTAGTGTCTCGAATTCCAGACTGGCCTTCACTTGTCCTAATTCAGCAGTTGTTTCTCTCCTGCGCAGCTGCTGGGATTGGCCGGGGGCCAGGGTGATTCATCTGTAGAGAAGGAATTGACCGCTTAGTTATCAGTTCCTGTCAGTCGGGCGCGCAGGGTCCGCCATGTTTGTAGACGCCTCGCTGGGAGGAAGCAGCCTCGTGCTTTCCTCCCATTCCTCGTCACTTCCCCCCAAGGCTCCCCTTAGAGTCCTCCCGGACTCATCAGAGCGCGCTGCCGGGGGCAGACAAGCGCTGAAACGGCTGCGCGTCCGCAGCGGAACCACGTCCGCGCGCGCGCAACCATTCCCCGCATTGTTCCCCGCGTCCGCGTCCTCTCATGCGCCGAGCAGAGCGACAAGCACCCGCGCCGCGCCCGCCACCGGCGCGTCCTGGATCCGCGACGTCTCGAACTTCGCCGTGAGCCGCTCCAGCCGATTAACTCCGGATCGCCCCGCGTCTGACCTCCGAACGAGCGTCTGGCGTGGGGAAGGCGGCGGCAGCAGCAGCAGCAGCGGGAGCGGAAGCGGGAAATTCAACCCGCGAGACGACGATCTAGTTGAGCTTCCGTTATTCCCGCTGCCGCTGGTGCTCTTCCCGGGGACCGCGCTCCCCCTGCAGATCTTTGAATTCCGCTACCGCATCATGATGCAGACGCTGCTGCAGACCGACATGCGCTTCGGTATAATCTACACCGGCAAGGACGCCGCCACTGCCGCCGCCGTCGGCTGCGTCGGGCAGGTGATCCGCCACGAGAGACTTCCTGACAACCGCTTCTTCCTCATCTGCCGCGGTGAAGAGCGATTCCGCGTGGTGGACATCGTCCGCAGCCGGCCGTATCTAGTCGGCCGCGTGCGGTGGCTGGAAGACAAGCCGTCAGAGCAGCCGGTGGACATCGACTCGCTCGCGAACGAGGTCGCTGACATCATGCATGACGTCATCCGGATGTCGAACAAGATGCGTGGAAGCGACGAGGAAGTTCCGGATCTGCGCAAGTCGTCCTTCCCCACTCCCTTCTCCTTCTGGGTAGCGTCTACGTTCGAGGGCGCGCCGGCGGAGCAGCAGGTGCTCTTGGAGTTAGAGGACACGGCGGAGCGGCTCCAGCGCGAGAAGGAGACGCTTAGAAGCACGCTTAATTATCTTACTGCGGCGTCCGCTGTCAAGGACGTGTTCTCGTCGCCGTCCGATAAGTGAGGGGCTGGTGGGAGGGAGGGGAGCGGGCGACACGTGGCGGCATACCTGGCAAGTGTTCGTCTCTTGTAGGGCTCACGTGTCGTCTCCTCTCGTCTGTTGTAGCATCTCCTTTTTATGTCGAGCCGTCTTTATTATTTCTCCCCAACAACCCACCCCCCCCCCCAACCCCCCCACACCCTTCCCCCCCCACCCTACACCCCCTTCCCCCGTCCCCTCCCCCCCCTTTTTTTGAACCTCCTCATTGTATCATCACACATTGCATTAAACGAGAACCTGATCACGCGAATCTGGACAATTGTTTTTTCACTTCAAGGAATGAAAGGGCGGTGGTAGGGGGCATGAGGTTGGCTGCATGCGATGCGTCAGGTCTCAGGTCAACCAGTCTGCTCGGCTTGAGCTGGGAGCGGGCAGGTATAACCAGGGCTCATCAGCTCAGCTGTAACCAACCATAAGATCCTGTGAATCCATTCGGATAACCGTTCAGCGGCAGGCCCGTTGCCATTGAAGTCGTGCGATGGTCCGGCGGCTCCCTTGTGCCCAGACCCACATGTCACCCACTCCTTCCCTCCGTTTTCCTCCGTTTTCTCTGTTGTCCTCCGCTGTCCATCCCCTGTCCTCCCTTTCTCTCCCCGTATCTGGCCTCGCCATCCGACCCTCCCTCGCGGCCCTTCCGCCTTCCACACCTCCACGCGCCCCATCCTCACTCCTTGCTCCGTTGTTCCCCCCTTGACTCGCTTTTCCGCCTCTCTCTCTGTTTCTCTACCCTTCTCTCTCCCCCTCTGTCGCTCTCTCTTTCACCCTCCCTCCACACATCTCTGCCCATCCCCCACCTCCAGTTTCTCCCGTTCTGTTGTCCTTCGCCCGTGACCTTCACTCGCTCCATCAGTCTGGACGTCTTTCGCCTGCATCTTGCACCAAGCCAATCCTAACACAAAGCATTCCCGGCCAGAGGCGTCTCTATCTACTCACTCGCGCCTGTAGTACACTCGCAGGCCTAGACTTGGGTTGGGTTGGGTCGCTCGCAGCTCTATCCCAGTCTGTATACAATCACGGATACCTAGAGGCTAATACCGAGACACAAGCTCATCCGAGACCGAGCCCTTGGTGCTCACCTCTCACTCAGGTCTTGCGCGCTGGTTCTCTCTTGTGTTGCTGCATGGAGACGTGCTCCCTATCAAAGTGAGAACTGAATGATAAGTAGAGAGAGAGTACAGGTGAATATACACAAGTGTTGTACCCTCTAAGAGGTGGCCCTATACAGTCTATGCAAACATAGGAGATACACATGTTTGACACACCCCCTAGACGGCATAGGGGCAGGTCCTGAACAAGTAGCTCAGGGCGGCACTACTAGTCCAGCCTCTGAGACAAGGGTCTAAACGACCAGTTAGAAAGAGTACAGCCAATGCAAGAATTAGACTAGGGCGGCACTACTAGTCCAGCCACGGCGAGTGGACACACGTCCAGTCTGTGTACACATATAAACGACAGTACAAAGTCAAGGCCCTAGCAAGTGAGAGGCTACAGGAACTAGACCAAGCTGTACACAGTGCCGCTGATGATCTTTAGGCGCAAGTGCCTTCGTAAAGATATCAGCTGTGTTGGCACCTGAGGCCAAGTGTACTACGCGAGCCTGGCGTCGCTGCTGTAGCTCGCACAGGAGGAAGTACCGCAGCTGAATATGCTTCGCTCTGCCCTCGAGTCGAGGCTCCTGACACAGGAGGATCATGGCCCTGTTGTCAGCGTACAGGACCGGGGCAGAGCTAGGCCGCTCACCTAAGTCAGTGAGCAATAAGGTCAGCCAGCGGAGCTCCTGTGCCGCCATGGCACCAGCGTAGATCTCGGCCTCACAGCTGGACTGGGCAACAGACGAGGAGCGGGTAGCTCTCCACGAGACGGCACCTGAACCAAGGCTGAAGCAGTAGCCCTGGGTAGACCTGAGTGTCTCGGCGTCGTCTGCCCAAGAAGCGTCTGTGTGTCCTGTAAGGACCACTGGCCCACGTCCTCCTAGCACTAACCCATGCCTGATGTACTAGCAAGATAACGCAAAACCCTCTTAGCGGCAGACCCGTGCCGCGATCGGTGTCTGCCTGTGGCCACAAAGCGAGCCAGGATGCTGAGAGGGTATGCGAGATCTGGGCGAGTGCAAGTCATCAGGTACATGAGGCAACCCACCAGCTCTGCGTAGGGGCCGCTGGGCTCTACCGACTCCTTAGAAACTGGAGCAGAGAGTCTGTGGTCTACAGGCAGAGGGGTGGGCTGTGCAGAGGAGAATTGAAGGCCGAACCTCTGAAGGACCTGGCGCACCAAGTGTGACTGAGTCAGGGTGATGGTGCGCGCAACTGTGTCCCTGGAGATCTGCAAGCCAAGGTAACGGCGCAGTTCTCCAAGGTCAGTGCACGTGTGTCTCTTCAGCAGCTCTGCCTTCACTGAGGCCAGTGCGTCCCTGTCTTCTGTGGCAAAGACCAGGTCGTCGACGTAAATAAGGATGTAGAACGGAGTCTGGCCAGCACGAACGAAGAGTGAGGGGTCTGCGGAAGACGGAAAGAACTGCAGGTCAGCAAGGGTAGCACGCAGCGTGTCGTGCCACTCACGGGGAGCCTGGTGCAGGCCATAGACAGGGCGCCGCAGGAGCCACTGGGTCCCAGGAGGGAAGGTACCAGTAAAGCTCTGAGGGCGACACAAGTAGCACTAGGCTAGGAGGAAGTGAAAGGAGGCCGTCATGGTTGTGGCGGCGGGGTTTAGCTAGGAGAGTAGGAAAAAATTCGAGAGGAAAGAGAGTTGGATTAGGAAGAGAGGGGAGTACAAGGAGGGGTTTGTACCCTCTACAGAAAAGGTTCAGTAACAACCTACCAAGCCTATATAAATTATAACTTATATAATTTTAACACACCCCCTAGGCTTGGTAGTCACACACCCACCCAACACACCACACACCCCCTAACCTAGCACCCCCATTCCAGCCACAGTGACCGTGACACTAGGTCGGTCGACCCCACGGTGCGTGAGGCGGCGACGTCGACCGCAGGGGCTGCGGCGGCGACGGCGACAGTGTCGACAGCGGCGGCGGCGACGGCGTGCGGCTGCGTGGCCCCGACGCAAGCGGCGACAGCGGCGGCGGCGGCGGCTTCGACAACAGCGGCAGCGGCGGCGTCACCCGCACCTCTCGGTGACGTGGCCAGGCCCCGCGACGGTGGGACGGCCGGCGGGAGTCAGCCGTCGGCTGTGGCAAGTTACAGGACACAGGGGAAGGGGGGCGGGGCGTGGTCCAGCCTCACGCTTGAGGCTGGCGTGCGGGCAGCAGGTGTGGCGGCGCCAGGAACATCGCACGGCAAGCTGCCGTCCGACGACGCTGCCACAGCAGCATTACGACGCCGACACATCGCGGCGTCGATGCAGCGGTGGGACGTCGCCGCTGCGACGGTAAGCACGGCGCCGTCACAGCAGTGTGGCGTCGTCGCCACGCGTCACGACGCGACGGCACGGCAGAAACGGGCATGGCTGCCAAGGCGGCACGGCAGGAAGTCGGAAGGCAGTGAACGAGAACGCATCGGAAGCACGGAGGGGAGCAGGCCCAGGAAGGACGTCCTGCTCTCGATACCATGTTAAAGTAGCACTAGGCTAGGAGGGAGGGAAAGGAGGCCGCCATGGTTGTGGCGGCGGGGTTTAGCTAGGAGAGTAGGAAAAATGTCGAGAGGAAAGAGAGTTGGATTAGGAAGAGAGAGGAGTACAAGGAGGGGTTTGTACCCTCTACAGAAAAGGTTCAGTCACAACCTACCAAGCCTATATAAATTATAAGTTATATAATTTTAACAGGTGTCTGCGTATGGCCACAAAGCGAGCCAGGATGCTGAGAGGGTATGCGAGATCTGGGCGAGTGCAAGTCATCAGGTACATGAGGCAACCCACCAGCTCTGCGTAGGGGCCGCTGGGCTCTACCGACTCCTTAGAAACTGGAGCAGAGAGTCTGTGGTCTACAGGCAGAGGGGTGGGCTGTGCAGAGGAGAACTGAAGGCCGAACCTCTGAAGGACCTGGCGCACCAAGTGTGACTGAGTCAGGGTGATGGTGCGCGCTGCTCTGTCCCTGGAGATCTGCAAGCCAAGGTAACGGCGCAGTTCTCCAAGGTCAGTGCACGTGTGTCTCTTCAGCAGCTCTGCCTTCACTGAGGCCAGTGCGTCCCTGTCTTCTGTGGCAAAGACCAAGTCGTCGACGTAAACAAGGATGTAGAACGGAGTCTGGCCAGCACGAACGAAGAGTTAGGGGTCTGCGGAAGACGGAAAGAACTGCAAGTCAGCAAGGGTAGCACGCAGCGTGTCGTGCCATTCACGGGGAGCCTGGCGAAGGCCGTAGACGGGGCGCCGCAGGAGCCACTGGATCCCAGGAGAGAAGGTGCCAGTAAAGCCCTGAGGGCGACGCAAGTAGACCTACTCGTGTAGGCTGCCCTGAAGGAAAGCAGTGGAGAAGTCGAGGAAGTGAAGCTCGTAGTCACGCTGAGCAGCTAGGTGTAATAGAACCCGAAGAGTAGTCATCTTCGGGGTCGGAGCGAAGGTCTGGAAGAAATCCACCCCCTCACACTGACTGAAGCCTCTAGACACGTAGCGCGCCTTGAACACAGGCGGCTCTCCATGAGGGCGCTTCACCTTGAAGAGCCAGCGGCCATCGACTACATTCACCCCAGGCGGGGGAACTGCGTCGACGAAGGTGCCGGTGGATCTCCAAGATGCCATCTCCTGCTCCATGGCAGCTATCCACTGCAAGGCTCAAGGTCCCGAGGTCGCCTCAGCGGAAGTGCGAGGGGTCGGGATGTCGAAAGCGTCTGGGTCACCCTCAGGGACTAGCAGCATGGAACAGAGATGGGGAGCAGCCTCGGACAGGAAAGCAAGCTCGAACTGGCGGTCCTCCAGGACGTCACTGCCGAGGGCAGGAGCACCCCCGACAGACGGAGGACAGCCAGGGTCAGAGACCAGAGCAGTGGTGTAGTCAAGGCGGCGGGAAGAGGCGTAGTCAGCGACCGCAGCTACCAGAGCGTCAAGGCACGAGACCGGAACAGACGGGTTGGTAACGAGAGAGGCAAGGACCCGAGGAACAAGAGGACGAGCGTCACGAAGGTAGTCAGACAGAGGGGGGGGTGCAACAACAAGGGCGGACCGAGGAGGCGACGGGAGAAGGGGAGGACGAGACGCGTGGGAGTGAAGCAACATAGGGTGGGAGCGCAAGACAGGGGAGGCAGGACGAGCACGGGAGGGACGGTGAGACCAGACGTGAGACGGAGGAGTCGGGTCAAGAAACAGGGGAGGGGACACAGGGGGGGAACGAGGAGGAAGACGAGTCGGGGACAAGTCTAGCGGAGGGAACACAGGGCCGTACACGGGAAGAGGAGGAGACGGCCGGAGAGGAACAGACGCAGGGTCAGGGGACGGAAGGCTGAGCAGGCGAAGGGCTGACACCGGCGGGGACTGCTGCTGCGGCGGCACACCGCCGACACCGGGACCGCAAGCTGCTCCTCGGCTACCACCGGCACACTCCACGCCAGCACCTCCAGAGGGAACACCTCCAGGGCCCGAAACCCCTCGAGGACTGGTACCACCCCCACGGGTACCGGGACTAGCACGCACTCCAACGCCAGCACCCCCAAAGTCAGCGAACAAGTGCTGCGACGGCGGCGGCGGCGGCAGCGACAACGACGGCGGCGGCGGCGGCGGCGGAGGTGACAACGGCTGCGACAGGAGGGGCGACAGCGGCGACAGAGGCGGTGGAGGAGGGGACGCCTGGGGAGGGGTAGCCGGCGAGGACTACACCGCAGGACCACCAGAGTCAGAAGACTCCTCAACCGGGACCACCGACGGAAGAGGGGTGACGTGGGACACACCAGAGGGGGCAGGACGAGGAGGAGGAGGGGGAGGGGCAGGGAATACCGGGGAAGGAGTGACCAGGAACAGGGGGGGGGGGTAACCGGGGGACCACGGTGGGGGAAGCGACGGTAGTAGGAGACGGACTCGTCAAAGGTGACGTCGCGAGACTGAAAGAAGCGGTGAGACGGCGGGTGGTAGAAGTGCCAGTCGGACGCGTCAAGGGGAAAACCGAGGAAGACGCAGGGAAGGGTACGGGCAGTGAGCTTGTCCGTGCCGGAGGCACGGACGTAAGCAAGGCAGCCCCAGACGTGGAACGCAGACGCGTCACCAGGAGACTCGGTCCAAAGACGGGTCGGCGAAACCTGCGGCTGCTGGGGGTGCGGCCACAGGTTAAGCTGGTGAGAAGCGTAGCGCACAGCGAACGGCCACAGAAAATGGGGTGCACCAGCATGGATCATGGAGGTGCGAGCCACCTCCATGACCAAACCGATGCGTCGCTCAGCGACCACATTCTGCTGTGGGGAGTCTGGCAGGGTGAACGTCTGGGTGATGCCCCCGCACGACAAAAGCGACCAAGGACACCTGAGGCAAACTCGCCACCACGGTCGGAGTGAAGGCGCAAGACAGGGAGACCTCGGTGGACACGGGCAGAGACAAGCCAGGGGATGAGAGCGGCAGGCACGTCGGCCTTCCGCTCTAGGGGAAAGACCGAGGTGTAGCGAGTGAAGTCGTCGACAAGCACAAGGAAGTAGCGCTCTCGACGCGGCCCATGGACGGGGGCGGGGCCCCAGACGTCCATGTGCAGGGTCTGCAGCGGCGCGGCGGTAGGGGGAAACGAGGAGGAGTGAGGGGCACAGCGAAGCCGACCCTCGACGCAAGGCGTGCAAGGTGGGGCTGGGGAGGAGGGAAAAGCGGGGAGAGAACCAGGGAGACCAAGGACGAGACCGTGCTGGGACATGTGATGCAGACGCGGGAGCGCAGGGTGACCTAGGCGGTGGTGCCAAAGGAGAGTCGGGTGAGTGAGGGACCGACAGGAGCAGGCAGCAGCAACCTGGGTAGACGCAGCCACCTGAGGGGGCGCCCCAGCCGAGGGGGTCACGGTGTCCAGAGTGAACAGGCCGGACACCGGGTCCCGGGGGAACTTGGACAGGGGGGCACCAGTAGCGGCCTCAGTACAGAGAGCATACCGCTCGTAACCAGGGAACGTAGTGGTGACGCCAAGGTCCTGGAGGCAGCCGACACCAACTAGGTTCCTGGAGAACGAGGGGATATGCAGACCTGTAAGAGAGCCCGAAGGAACCGCCGGACAGGGAAGGGTGGTGGAACTGCGGGCGACTACCGGACCGCTGGAGGGGTCAGCAAGAGAAACGGCAGCAGGAACAGGAAGCGGCGTCACTGTAGTAGAGTCGCGGAAGAAGCACCGGGAAGCGCCAGAGTCCAGGGTGAAGGAAAGCGAAGCAGTGGCGTCCGGCGACGGGGCGACGGTGGAAGCACCAAGGCTAAACAAAGCAGGGGATCCTACGCTTGACGCAGCAGGGGAGGCTAAGCTAGGAACACCTGAGTAATAAGCGGGAAGCGCACTAGAGTCATCAGCATACATCACATGCAGAGCAGAAACAATGGCATCCATGTCCATGTCAAAAATCTGAATCCTACGACTAAGCAAACTGTGCCAATCCGGAAGGTCTGGCGACGGGCCGAAGCGCTGACGAAACAGGTCGTCCAGGCGACGAAAACAACGGGGATTGGTATGACCGAGCTTACCGCAAACGAAGCCGCGGCGAGGACCGGTCTGGATCTGGTACTGACAACGCACGCCTCCCGAACCACCACTCGGCACACCACCACGCGGCCGACTTCCTCCAGCGCCAGGCCACCCGGGCGGGAGGACACTCGCCTGCCTCGTCTGCGGCGGCTGCTGCGGAGGCTGCGGCTGCTGCGACTGCTGCGGCTGCTGAGGCTGCTGCTGCTGCTGCTGCGACTGCGGAGGCGGCGGCTCAGCTGGACTGGGCAGGGTCCCCTCGTCTGCTCCAGCACCAGACGACCCGACTCCACCACCACCCCCTCCTGCACCCCCGCCTCCTCCGCCGCGCCCAGCCTTGGGGCGGCGGCCCTTCCCCGAACGAAACTGCGCTGCAGCAGCAGTCTCAGCCACAGCGACAGAACCGTCGGAGAAGGTACACTGAGCGGGGGCACAACCCTGAAAGATAGGGACCGGCACGGTACCACTCGCCTGGGCGATGGAGCGGTGGCGGGTCTCAATAATAGTCAGGGTGTCTACAAAGTCGGTGAGGGTGAGCTCACCGGGGTGAATGCTAAGGAAGCGGTCGCGGGCGGCGGCAAGGCGGTCAGGGAGGCGGGTGGCAAGCAGGTAGAGGGTAGAGGTAATGGGCGGCTGGTGGGCTCTAAGCTGTGCGTCAGTGCAGGCAGCGCGCCAGGTCTCATCTATCGAGCGCAGGTGGGCAGCTAGGTCAGAGACAGTGGGGAAAGACGCAAGGTCGGGAAAGAGCATCGGGAGGATCAGGCGACCCACCGAGGCAGCACGAGGGGTGGAATAGCGCTTGATGACAACTGCTAAGTAAGCCTGGGCGGTAGTGATGGACCTAAAGTGAGGGCGCTCGGACGGGGGAAGGGCATTGCTAATGGCAAGCTGAGCGACAGCGTCTCGGGAAAGCCAGATAGAGCGCGCAAGGGCAGTGGCTGCAGTAGACTCGCGCTCAGCGGGTGTGGGGTCAGTGGGCAGAACAGCAGGGGGGTCTGGGCAGGGGAGTGTACCGTCAAGGTGTGCGGAAAGCGGGTGGCCATCCTGCCGATGGCTAGTGAGGTGGCGACGGAGGTCGGCGAGCCAGGCCTCGAACTCCAGAGGCGGGCCTTCAGCGTCGAAGCGAAGCTCCGCCGCCATCAGGAGCAGTGCAGGACTCTATAGTGCGGTGTAGGGCGGTACCGTGCAGTGCAGTGCGGTGCAGTGCAGTGTAGTGCGGTGCAGGGCGGTGCAGTGCGGTGCAGGGATGGGGAACCGTACCAGGGAGGATGCAGGGCCGGGGCAGGGACGACGAGCGGGCCGCACACAGCTCAGGGCAGGACGGGCGCGGGGGCCAGAAGCAGCGGGCACCAGGTCGACGGGACGGGCGCGGGGCCGGCTGGGACGGGCGCAGGGGCCGGCTGACGGGCGCAAGGCAGGAGCGGCGGGGCCTAGGAGGGGCGCGACGGGGCCCAGGGGGGCGCGACGGGGCCCAAGAGGGGCGCGACGGGGCAAGGGGGGCGCGACGGGGCCGTGAGGCGCGGCAGGGCCCAGGAGGGGCGCGACGGGGCCCAGGGGGAAGCGGCGGGGCCTAGCTAGGGTACGGGCGGAAGCGGTAGGTAGGGGATCCTAACCTACGCGTGATACAATATCAAAGTGAGAACTGAATGATAAGTAGAGAGAGAGTACGGGTGAATATACCTAAGTGTTGTACCCTCTAAGAGGTGGCCCTATACAGTCTATGCAAACATAGGAGATCCACATGTTTGACACTCCCATCTCAACCCTGCTGTCTCTCATTCTCAGCCCATTCTTAGGAAACAGTGCAGTGCAATTGTGTATGGGTCTCAGCAAGAGCATGTTATGTTACCACACTTGTTATTAGGGGGCAGTTTGTTCCACTCAAAGAGAGCATCACCCAACCAGTGCCACAGTTGTAGAACCTCGTTATCCTTACACCTGGCGATTTCCTCCTAACCAGAGTGGTGGTCTAGACTGGTCTCACCAGAGACTGCTTGAACCAGCCATGACAGGTCGTACGATTTAGGTTGAAGATACCGATGTACCGTATTAGCCCGGATAGAAGACTCATGGGTCTTATCACATACCGTTAGAAAAAAAGCCCAGAGTGTCTTATAAATGGGAAAAAACAACATACAGCGACGGAAAGTATTGCCCGGATAAAGTCCAATTTTAGGTTCAACACATGATTTGAATGCTTTCATCCGATGTATCGTTGAATGTTCATTGCTGACTAATAAGTTACGCGTGCCAGTTACAATAGGGTAACACGTTTGCAACCTGAATGGGTCGCACTAATAGCGTGGCCAAGATTTCAGTCGCGTGAGTGCATCCGGACAGTTTTGGCCAAGCAGCGGACTAGATCCGTTTTCGACTAGAGCATTCTCTCCATAGTTCCTAACGCAATCGTCGAGTAGTCAGAATAAAGTTTATACCCGAGGCGTAGACTACGCCAAGATGAGACCGATAGATGAGGCTCGTCGCGCCCGGATCGTGGCCCTGTTGCGTAGGGGGTTCAGCACGAGGCAAATCGCGAAACAGGTTGGCGTTGGGAAAAGTACAGTGCATGATGTTGGGCTCAAGGCGATTTCAGAGACTAGTCCCGAGGACGTTCGTCCTACAATGCCCACTGCTGGTCGTCCACGCGTACTGTCGAGTAGAATTCGTCGTGGGATCGTCAGGGCGATCACTAGCGGCGAGGCGAAAACCTCGAGGCATGCGGCCCAAATCGTCGAATCCCAGCACGGCATCACGGTGCATCCTAGGACGGTGCGTAATGCGCTCAAATCCAGCGGCCTTATCGCAGTTCAGCAGCCTAAGAAGCCGCGACTCACCAAGAAAAATATCCGCGATAGGCTGGCGTTCGCACGGGCCCACGCGGATTGGACCATAGATGATTGGCGACGGGTCATATGGTCGGATGAGACGAGGATTAGTAGGTTCGGCTCTGACGGCCGCGCGTACGCCTGGGTTCGTGAAGGTACGACTCTCCAACACCACCATATCAAGCAAACCGTCAAACACGGGGGCGGCGGCTTGATGATCTGGGGATGTATGACGTTTGAGGGGGCGGGTTTCATGTGCAAAATCGATGGTCGGATGGACGGGCCGCTGTATCTGAGCATTTTGCAAGACGAGCTGAAAAAAACCATCGACTTTTACAAGCTAACCCCCTCGGCTGTGATCTTCCAGCATGATAACGACCCCAAGCATAAGTCCCGTGTGGTGCAGCAGTGGCTTCAGGAGCAGGAGTATGGGGTCCTGGAGTGGCCGGCAGGAAGTCCTGATCTGAACCCCATTGAGCATCTGTGGGCTCATCTTAAAAGGGAGCTGGGAAAGCATGAGACACCTCCCACTGGTATGGTGGACCTGTGGGAGCGTGTACAAGAGGAGTGGGAGAAGATCCCATCAGAGGTGTGCTCCAATTTGATCGACAGCATGCCCAGGAGGGTGAAAGCAGTGATTAGGGCTAAAGGGCGGTGGACCAGGTACTAGTTTAAGGGTTTTTCAAGTTGCTGCTTCCGCCTGGAAATAATTGTCCACATGCACCGTGTTTGGTTATGTTTGCTGTTTACTGTTAACGATAGTAGTTTCATCAAATGTGTAGCATTTTAATGTCTCCCTAGATTAGCCTGCATATAGTGGGTAATGCCTCCAATTAAGGCTTAATGTTCAAATGCCCTTTAACGGTGGAAATTCAAAAAATTGCCAAACATGTGGACAATTCTTTCCGTCAGTGTATATGGGGGTCTTATAAACGGAACCATCGGACCTCACCGGAAAAAACATGGAGTTATTACACCAGAGGTCTGTGAACCGTTCTCATATTGAAGATGTCATTAAGGGGCCGATTTTGTTGGCGATAAGAGTTTAGGCTCAGTTGGACACGTGTGAGATGCAGCAAGTGAGGGACGAGGGTGTGTTGGCAGGTATTCTGCAACCCTCATCAACTGGACGTCATGTTTCAACCATCCCAACCGTTTATCTGGCGTTAGCTCACACAAATCCAGCGGATACGATGGGCTGTCACATGATGCGTCAGCAAAGCGTCCTCAGCGAGGACAGATTCCTCTACGGGGAACCACAAAGTGAATTGTGGCAGTGTTGTCGGAGGTGGGTGGACCCCCTCTTCTGCTCATTTGCATCTCACGTTCTCGAAAAATGCATCAGCCTGGTGTGCCTCTGCGTGCCGTGCCCTAGCCATCTGTGGCTTAGCGAGATGCGTAGCAAGCACCGTCTGCCATGGAGGGAGACTCATGGCGGACGGCGCCCTTCAGCAGGTAGTACACCACCAAGGGTGTACGTCAACATTTTTGGCAGAGTTAACTCCCCTGGCGATACCATCAACGGTAGTGTTCGGCCTGTCCGAAAGGCCTTTGCGAGTCGTTCACCCCGCCGTGATTCTCCCTTCACGGCTTCTAACGACGATGCAGACGATGGGGGCGCCGACGCGGACGGCTCGGCGTGCAACGCCGCTGACGACGAAGACGAATGGTGGGCAAGGCCCATTGGATCCGACGATGAAGTAGAAGAATGGCACGCGGGCATCGATGCTGGCGGAGGGGATGGTGCCGCTACAGGCGACGAGAACGCCTGCGGGGTGGGCGACGATGCGGCCGACGAGAACGCATGCGGGGTGGGCGATGATGCGGCCGACAAGAACGCGTACTGGGAGGGTGACGATGCGGGCGAGTATCCGAGCGGTGAGGAAGGCAACGATGCGGGCGAGTATCCGAGCGGTGAGGAAGGCAACGATGCGGACTACGATGAGGCTGACGATGCTGCCGACGACACGAGCGACGAATCGGGTGACGCTGCTGACGACAACGATGACTTCGATGCAGTAGCGGCGTCGGCGGGGCGATGTCGTGGCGGGGCAAAGCTGCGGAGCTCGAAGCAGATGGCTGACAAGATGGAATGCGTCGCGTGCGATGCCGCTAACGACAACTCGACCGATGAGGTGGGCGGCATGTCCGACGAGGACAGCCGATCCAGAAACGCCGTGTTCTCTTCGAGGTGCACGGTCGCAAGCGCCAGCTGGACGGTGCTGAAAACGACGAACACAGGGGAACAAAGCGAAAAAAACTGACCAAAGAGTCCCCAGCAAAGCGTGGACGGCTGTCGAGGGAGGAGAAAGGGAAAGCAAAATCCCGGGAAGAGCACGGCATCGGCAAACGCAAGCGAGCCGCTGGCAACGACACGCGAAAGTCCGCCAAGCGGAACACCAGCCATCCGGAAGGCGATATGGCCAAGGAGAACTCCGACGACGCCTACGCGGAAGCGGCTGGCCCCATCCCCGTGTTCCCCGAAGGCAAGAAGCCCAGTGATCCAAGGACCAAGAACCCCGACGCGCAACCACCCTCGCCGCATAGTAAAGCCAACAAGAAGCAGCGACGCAGCTTCACGGTCGGCGAGAAGGCGCGGTGGGCGCTGTGGTATCACGAGCTGGGGTCACTCATGCGGACGGCACAAGAAGCGGGCGCCGGACAGTGCTCCATCCGCCGCTGGGTGGAGGCAGATATAAAGGGAAAGTACAAGGGGGCTGCGAAGTGCAGGAAGAGGCTGCATGGTTCTGGCCGGCACGCGCATCACCCCGAGATGGAGGAGGCGCTCGCCAAGTACGTCTGCGAGCAACGGAGTCGGGGCCTGGCGGTCAGCGTCAATGACATTCGGGAATGGAGCCGAAAGTACATACGCAGACGCGACCCGCGTACCAGGTGGCAGGGGTCGAACCGATGGAGCCAACGGTTTCACAAGCGGTGGGGATTCACACTACGCTGCCGAACGAAGGTTGGGCAGAAGCTCTCTCCAGGTAAGCTTCTTGTGTCCTGTGAGTAAGCGTATGCCTCTGTATCTGCGTCTGTCTCTGTGCTGAGCCTTTGTTCTCTGTCTCTGAATTTGTCTGTTGTGCAAAGCTTCTGTTCACTGTCTCTGCATTCGTCTCTTGTGCAGAGACGTGCCTCTGTCTTGTGTCTATGCGCTTGCTAAGGCCCCTCTGCCCCTGCCCCTTCCCGCCCACCACAGAATGCGCCGCGGACTGTGAGGGGTTTTGGAAGTTCGTTCGCATCAACCGTGCCTGTCATCAGATGGACTTACGCCGCATTATCAATGCCGATCAAACTCCTCTTTTCGTGGAGATGCCAGCTGGCCGGACGTTGGAGCAGAAGGGGTCCCGTTCGGTGCCGGTGAAGACCGCTGGATACGAGAAGCAACGCTTGACCGTGATGCTAGCATGCACGGCCAGCGGCGACAAGCTCCGGCCGTGGGTATGGTTCAAGCGCAAGACCATACCCAAATGTGAATGTCCCTCGGGTAAGCCTTCCACGTCTTGCTCTCCATGCACTCCTGAACCCTCCTATGCTGTGAGCGTACGACCTGTTGTTTGACTCACATAAATTCGACTTGTGCGTGCGTTCTGCAGAGGTCGAAGTGCAGGCGCAGGAGAACGGCTGGATGGATGAGGCAGCCGTCAAGAAGTGGCTGGAGAAAGAGGTTCTCCCCTTTCTCAACCCGGAGCGTGGGGCGCCAGCGCGACGTACCATGCTTGTGCTAGACTCGTACTGTGGCCATCTCACCGATGGGATGAAGCACGCGTACAGGACGCATTGCATCATCCCTGCCAACATTCCGGCTGGGTGCACTCCGCTGATTCAACCCCTTGATGTTTCCATCAACAGGTGTTTTAAAGCGGGGGTGAGGGCATGCTATGCAAAGTGGTTTGCAAAGCACGGCATCAACCTACGCACGGCCAAAGGTACGCCAGCAGTTCTGATTTCTCCCCGCCCGCATCCCTGAATGCACGCCGCCCGTGACCTTGAATGCACCTTGTCCGCATTTCTGGCTTCTTCCCTGATTTTCTCGCTCGAATCAATTGCCTGTCAAATCCGTGACTGATGCCTGTGCTAGTGCTCCATGAAATCCCTACTCCAGGAAACCTGCGCCGCCCGCCCCACCCCGTTGTACTGAAGTGGATTGACCAAGCATGGCGCGATGTGCCGCGTGACATCATCGTGCGAGCATTGAAGACCTGCGGCATTTCAAGCTCCATGGATGGTACAGACAACTACTTGGTGCTCCAGCACATGCGTGGGGAGCCAGCTCTCAACATCTCTGAAGACATGTCCCTGCAAGGGACGAGTGGTGACAATGCAGGTTTCGTGGAAGAGCAAGAGGCAGAGGAGGGGGAGGCGGGAGAGGAGGGAGAGGAGGGAGAGGAGGGAGAGGAGGGAGAGGAGGGAGAGGAGGAGGAGGAGGGGGGTGAAGCGCCGGAGCCAGGAGAGGAGGATCCGTACCCAGAGACTAAGAAGTGCCGTGGCGCAGCAGCATAAGCCGAGAAGCTGACAGAGCATGAGAGCACTGCAAGGCATGCCTGGGGGGTGCTAGATTACATCAAGCACCCCTTAGGAGGACCAGTAGATGAGGAGGAGGGATGCTGTGATTTTAGTACTATGGAGACCCATGAGGATTTCTAAGAGACTACTCGTGTCCTATCTGCATTGATGACTGAATGCATAGAATTTTGCCATACTAGAATAACATCTTTAAAAAAAAGGGGGGGGGGGGGGGTCTTATCTCATACCGCCCAGTGAGGGTCTTATAAACGGAATGCCATAATACAAGATAGACGCCTATTATAAGACGTAGGGTCTTCTATTACTAGGGGGTCTTCTATCCGGGCTAATACGGTAATACATATGTTCTGTGACATCCAGTCCAGTTACAGCCTGCGTCCCAAATTGCGAGGCATGGCCTTCAAACCAATTCTCGTGGGTGATTGGGGGGGGGGGGGTACCGTGACTCGCGTCACTCAGGCGTGCCTTTCAAGTTCAGTGCCGAAGGTATTTTGGGATACCGGGGGCTACGCGTAATTCATCCGTCCATTTCTTTCAGATGACCATCTGACGGCGCGCAAGCAGTGTTTTTCCCCCAGTCAATCGGAGTAAAATCTAAACTGTCAAATGGTGTGATTGCAAATCCGATGGTTCACGACACATCACGAATTCGCGAGATGAAAAACCCTCGCGATTTTCCGCAAATTTCGTACAGGACGAGGCTCAAAGTTCATACGCACTGCGCATGAGCAATTTGGGCCGCGGGTTTTAAAGTCAAGTTACTTACCTATATCTCGACATGGCAACTCATCACAACCCCTTACTATGTACTACCACATAGGTATGTACAGTTGTCTGCTCTGCTCACAGTTTCTACCACCCAACCAGGGCTGATTTTATCAGACTATTTTAGTCTGATTGTCTGAAATTTCAGACCTATTTTTTTGCCGATCCTGATTTTTCAGACTTGTCAATTTCTGAATGCTGAACCCTTCAGAGTTATATGTTTTTTAATCCTGAGAATCTCAGACTTGGCAGTTTGTGGATACTGAGTTTTCAGAGCACAGCGCGTGCGGACCCTGATCCAGACATACCTACCTGCCCTCACCCAGAAATTTTCGTCCATATCCCCAACGGCCAGAGTCAAGTCCTTTCACACACTCCGCCCCGCAACCTATAAAATCTGGCTAAGTCCTAGCAGCCAGAGACAGCTCCCCCCAGCACAACCAGCAGCGCGTAAAAAATTCGACTAAGTTCCCAGCCACCAGAGTCAAGTCCTCTCACACACCCAACAACCTATAAATTTCAGCCAGCGACAGTTCCTTCGCACACCCAGCAAACCATAAAATTTGTTGAAGTCCTGCTCTAGAGGCACCCCTCTCACACCCCCACCTACCCACGAAAATTGGCTAAGTCTTCCATTTTTAGGGGACATTCTTTCCACAGCCCTTTTGCCCTTTTTTTTTTTTTTTTTTTTTCTTCTTTCTTTCTTTTCGAAGTTCTCTCAGGGGCTGACACAAGTCCCTCGACAACCAATCACACACTTGCAAGGACAGCTTGTAGACAGACTTTCGATTCGACGTGCTTCAGGGCGTGTGTCTACGTGACATAAGGAATACGCTAACTCGTGTCAATTCGTAATTGACTGGCGAATCTGACGGGAAAATTCTTGAATGAAGCGAAGTTGCCCGACAACGTGTCGCGTAAGAACACGCCTTTACAATGTCGGCTTTGCGATACGTCACAAAAAGCTCGGCCTCGGCATTTGCCGAACGCGAGTGCTTCGGAATATTTGCGTTAATATCCCACGAATTTATGAAATTTATGGGGGAAATGAACCAGCCCGCACGAAGTTTTGCACGTCATCATACTTGCACACTCGGAAGTGGAGAACTTTGTGGGGAAACTTGAACTTGGGGGATTGAGCATGTGTCGGGTTCCCACCCAGAGCCACATTAGATAAGGGTGTCAAAGTGAGAAACGAATGATTACTAGAAGTGGAAACCTAGAACAAATACTAGTTGGCTGTACTCACTAGAAGCATACCTCAGTCTAGCCTATAACTTCTACATAGATAATATGTAAAAGTTGACACACCCCCTAGGCTAGACAAGGGGTGAAACTAAACAAGAAGCAAACAGCTCAGGGCGGCACTACTAGTCCAACCACTGAGGCAGGGGTCTGGAGACCAGTCAGCAAGAATACAACCAAAACTGAAGCAAGCCAGGGTGGCACTACTAGTCCAGCCACCGGAGGTAAGGCCACAAGGCCAGTCTGACAAGCATATATAATAGAGAGTACACAATCAGGATCCTAACAGGGGAGCAGCTACAGGAACAAGACCAAGCTGTACACAGTGCCGCTGATGATCTTTAGGCGCAAGCGCCTTAGTAAAGATATCAGCTGTGTTGGCACCTGAGGCCAAGTGAACTACGCGGGCCTGGCGGTGCTGCTGTAGCTCGCGCAGGAGGAAGTACCGCAGCTGGATATGCTTCGCTCTGCCCTCAAGCCGAGGCTCCTGACACAGGAGTATCATGGCCCTGTTGTCAGCGTACAGGACCGGGGCAGAGCTAGGCCGCTCACCTAAGTCTGTGAGTAAGAAGGTCAGCCAGCGGAGCTCCTGTGCCGCCATGGCACCAGCGTAGATCTCAGCCTCACAGCTAGACTGAGCCACAGACGACGAGCGAGTGGATCTCCAAGAGATAGCACCCGAACCAAGGCTGAAACAATAGCCCTGCGACGACCTGAGCGTCTCAGAGTCGTCTGCCCAAGAGGCGTCTGTGTGCCCAGTAAGGACCACTGGCCTGCGTCCTCCTAGCACTAACCCCATGCCTGATGTACTAGCAAGATAATGCAAAACCCTCTTAGCGGCAGACCAGTGCTGAGGTCGGTGTCTGCCTGTAGCCACAACGCGAGCCAGGATGCTGAGAGGGTATGCGAGATCTGGGCGAGTGCAAGTCATCAGGTACATGAGGCAACCCACCAGCTCTGCGTAGGGGCCACTGGGCTCTACTGGCTCCTCAGGAACGGGAGCAGAGAGCCCATGGTCTACGGGTAGAGGTGTGGGCTGTGCGGAGGAGAACTGAAGACCGAACCTCTGAAGGACCTGACGCACCAAGTGTGACTGGGTCAGAGTGATGGTGCGTGCTGCTCTGTCCCTAGAGATCTGCAGGCCAAGATAGCGACGCAGCTCTCCAAGGTCAGTGCAGGTGTGTCTCTTCAGCAGCTCAGCCTTCACAGAGGCCAGTGCGTCCCTGTCAAGAGTAGTGAAGACCAGGTCGTCTACGTAGACAACGATGTAGAACGGAGTCTGGCCGGAACGCACAAACAGTGAAGGGTCAGCAGAGGACGGAAAGAACTGCAGGTCTGCTAACGTTGCACGTAGCGTGTCGTGCCACTCGCGGGGAGCCTGACGTAGGCCGTAGACCGGGCGCCTGAGAAGCCACTGGGTCCTAGGAGGGAAGGTACCAGTGAAGCCCTGTGGTCGGCGCAGGTAGACCTGCTCGTGTAGGCTGCCCTGAAGAAAGGCAGTAGAGAAGTCGAGGGAGTGAAGCTCGTAGTCACGCTGTGCTGCTACGTGTAGCAGCGCCCGAAGAGTGGTCATCTTCGGGGTTGGGGCGAAGGTCTGGAAGAAGTCAACCCCCTTGCGCTGACTGAAACCTCTGGCCACGTAGCGCACCTTGAAGACAGGCGGCTCTCCAGGGGGGCGCTTCACCTTGAAGAGCCACCGACCATCGACTACGTTCACCCCAGGCGGGGGAACTGCGTCGACGTAAGTGCCGGTGGACCTCCAAGATGCCATCTCCTGCTCCATGGCAGCTATCCACTGAGAGGCCCAAGGTCCCGAGGTGGCCTCAGCGTAGGTGCGAGGGGTCGGGATGTCGAAGGTGTCTGGGTCACCCTCAGGGACTAACAGCATGGAGCAGAGATGGGGAGCAGCCTCGGAAAGGAAAGCCAGCTCGTACTGCCTGTCCTCTAGGACGTCATTGCCAAGGGCAGAAGCACCCCCGACGGACGGAGGATGGGCAGGGTCAGAGACCAGAGCGGTAGCGTAGTCAAGGCGGCGGGTAGAGGCGAAGTCAGCGACAGCAGCGACAAGCGCGTCAAGGCGCGAGACAGGAATAGCAGGGTCGGTAACAAGAGAGGCAAGGACCCGAGGGACAAGGGGACGAGCAGCACGGAGGTAGTCAGAGAACGGAGGAGGTGAAACAGCAAGGGACGAGGGAGGAGGGGACGGGAGGAGGGGAGGACGAGACGAGCGGGAACGGAGCAACATAGGTTGGGTGGGCAGGACAGGAGAGACGGGACGAGCACGGGAGGGACGGCGAGCCCAAACGTGAGACGGAGGTGTAGGGTCAGGGGACAGCGGAGGAGACACAGGAGGGGAACGAGAAGGAAGACGGGCCGGAGACGAGTCCGGCGGCGGGAACACAGGACCGTAGACAGGAAGCTCAGCAGGCGGTGGGGGAGACACCGGCGCGCGGTCCGGGGAGGGAAGGCCGAGCAGGCGGAGAGCGGAGACCGGCGGCGACGGCTGCTGTGGCGGCGACGACGGCTGGGCCGGAACTCTCGGACCAGCAGAGGCGGAACGACCGTCGGCAGAACACTCAACAGCAGCACCCCCAGAACCAACACCCCCAGAGCGAGAACCCCCTCCAACACCAGCGGCACCCCCAGAAGCCGCAGGACGAACACCCTCCTCCACACCAGCACCCCCAGGGGCCAAGAGCGGCGGCGGCAGTGGCGGCGACGGCTGCGGCGGCGGCGACAGCGGCGACGGCTGCGGCAGCGACGGCGGCGGCGGCGGCGACGGCTGCGGTGGCGACGACAGCGGCGACGGCTGCGGCAGCGACGGCGACGGCGGCGGCAGCGGGGTCGGCGACTGCGACAGTGGGGGCGGAGGCACCGGGGAAGGGGGACGCGGCAAGGACGGACCGGGGGTACCACCAGAGTCAGCAGACTCCTCAACGGGGACAACCGACGGGAGGGGAGTGACGTGAGAGACACCAGACGGGGCAGGACGAGGCGGGAGAGGGGCAGGGGCTACCTGGGGAGAGGGAGCAAGGAACAGGGGGGGGGCAACTGGGAGACCTCGGTGAGGGAAGCGGCGGTAGAAGGAGACGGACTCGTCAAAGGTGACGTCATGAGAGTGGAGGAAGCGGTGAGACGGCGGGTGGTAGAAAAGCCAGTCAGACGAGTCCAGGGGGAAACCGAGGAAGACACAGGGGACAGTGCGGGCAGTGAGCTTGTCCGTGCCAGAGGCACGAACGTGAGCAAGGCAGCCCCAGACGTGGAACGCAGACGCGTCACCGGGGGACCCGGTCCAAAGGAGGGTCGGCGAAACCTGCGGCCGCTGGGAGCGTGGCCACAAGTTAAGCTGGTGAGCAGCGTAGCGAACAGCGAACGGCCACAGAAAATGGGGGGCATCGGCATGGATCATGGAGGTACGGGCGACCTCCATGACCAAGCCGATGCGGCGCTCAGCAACCCCATTTTGCTGTGGCGAGTCCGGCAACGTGTACGACTGGGTGATGCCCTCCGCACGACAGAACTGTCCAAGCCGACCAGAGGCGAACTCGCCGCCACGGTCGGAGTGGAGACACAACACGGGGAGACCGCGGTGGAGACGCGCAGCCACAACCCACGGGAGAAGAACGTCGGGCACGTCGGCCTTCCGCTCCAGGGGAAACACCGTGGTGTAGCGCGTGTAGTCGTCGACGAGCACAAGGAAGTAGCGCTCACCGCGCGGTCCGGGGACGGGGGCAGGGCCCCAAACGTCCAGGTGCAGGGTCTGAAGGGGGGCGGTAGCAGGACGCAGCGAGGAGGAGTGAGGAGCACGGCGGAGCCGACCCTCGACGCAAGGCGTGCACGGTGGCGCAGTCGAGGGAGGAAGGGCAGGGAGCGACGCGGGGAGACCTAAGACAAGACCGTGCTGGGACATGTGACGCAGACGTGGGAGAGCAGGGTGACCTAAGCGGTGGTGCCAAAGAAGGGAGGGGTGAGTGAGGGACCGACACGCGCAAGCTGCAGCGACCTGGGAGGACGCACCAACCGGGGGGGAAGCGGTGTCTAGGGTAAACAGACCGGACACCGGGTCCCGGGGGAACGTCGCAGGGGGGGAACCTGAGACAGCCTCAGAACAGACAGCGAACCGCTCGTGCCCGGGGAACGTGGTGGTGACGCCGAGGTCCTGGAGACAGCCGACACCAACCAGGTTCCTGGAGAACGAGGGAACGTGGAGGCCAGTAAGGGAGCCCGAGGGAACTGCCGGACAGGGAAGGGACGTAGAACTGTGCGCGACGACAGGACCCGCAGAGGGGTCAGCGAGAGAGACAACAGCAGGTGCAGCAAGCGGTGTGAGCGTGGAACGGTCGCGGAAGAAGCAGGCAGAAGCACCGGAGTCGAGAGTGAAGGACAGCGACGCAGTGGCGGAGGCCGGGGACGGAGTCGGTGCAGCGACTAGACTAGGCAACCTAGGCAGTCCTACGCCTGACGCAGCAGGGGAGGCTAAGCTACACAGTGGTGCAACACCTAAACTAGAGTACACAGGGTAATAAGATCCAGCAAAACTAGAAGCGTCAGAATACAAAGCATGCAAAGCAGCACCTAGCTGATCCATGTCTAACTCAAAGATCGGCACGCCCTGGCGGAGCAGGCTATGCCAGTCAGGAAGGTCCAGGGCCGGGCCAAAGCGACGACGAAAGAGATCGTCGAGGCGGCGGAAACAGCGGGCGGTTGGGTGCGGGCGGCGGCACAGAGTGCCGCGAAGAGGCCCGGTCTAAAGCTGGTACTGGCAGGTGACAGCACCGGAGCCGCCGGTAGACGCCAAGCTGCGCGGGCCACCACCACGGCCACTACCTCCAGAGGTGCTGGGCCAACCAGGCGGGAGACGGGCCCACTGCTGCGGCGACTGCTGCTGGGACGGTGACTGCTGCTGGGGCGGCGGCTGCGGCTGGGGCTGCTCCTGCTGCGGCTGGGGCTGCTGCTCCTGCCCACCAGTGGTAGTCCCCGCAGGCGGACTACCGTCACCACCACTACTGCCACCACCACCCCTACCCCCCTTGCGACCACGGCCACCGCGGCACGAGCGCTGCTGCGGGTGGACCGCACCAGCCGTCTCGGTGAGAGGGGCCGCCGAGGCGACCACAGCCGAAACGTCAGTGAACGCACACTGGGAGGGGGCACAACCGTGAAAGATAGAAACAGCCGGCGCACCGCTCGACTGAGCGATAGTGCGCTGGCGAGTCTCGATCTCGGTGAGGGTGTCGACAAAGGCAGTGAGAGTGAGGTCACCCGGGTGCTGGCTAAGAAAGTGATCGCGAGCACTAGCGAGGCGGTCTGGCAGGCGCATGGCGATAAAATAGAGCGTCATGCAGAAAGGGGGGGGGAGCGCAGTGAGCTGGGCGGCAGTGCTGGCAGTGCGATAGCGGGTCTCTAGGGCACGCAGGTGAGTGGCAAAGTCTGCGACGGTAGGGAAAGCTGCAAGGTCTGGGAAAAGCATAGGGAAGAGCAGGCGACCAGCAGAAGCAGTCGCGGGTGTGGAATAGCGGGCAATAACAGCGTCTAAGTAAGCTTTGGCCGTCTCAATAGTAGCAAAACGCGAGCGCTCAGAGACAGGGAGGGCGTGGCTAATGGCAACCTGAGCGACTGCATCGCGGGAGTCCCAGACCGCACGGGCAAGCACAGCAGTAGAGAAGGTCTCACGGTCATCAGAGGAGGGATCAGCAGGGAGGGGAGCAGGTGCGGGGGGGCGGGGGAGCAAGCCGTCGACATGGACAACCAAAGAGTGGCCATCCTGGCGCTGACCTGTAAGGTGGCGGCGGAGATCGGAGAGCCAGGCGGCGAAGTCAACCGCATGGCCCTCGGCGTCCAGTCGGAGCACGAAGTCCGCCATCGTGCAGGGTCAGCGGCACAGCTCCACAGGAACACAGCGACGCAGGAACACAGCGACAGCCCCCTCCAGCACGGCGGCCGCGAAGCGCCTCAGCACGGGCGAGCAGAGGAGACGGAGCCCGAGGCGGCACGGCAGGACGAGCCGGGGCAAAGGGGCCAGGCACGTGCGGTGGGGCCAGGCAGGCGCGGCGGGGCCAGGCAGGCGCGGGGGGGGCCAGGCAGGCGCGGCGGGGCCAGGGAGGCGCGGCGGGGCCAGGGAGGCGCGGCGGGGCCAGGCAGACGCGGCGGGGCCAGGGAGGCGCGGCGGGGGCCAGGCAGGCGCAGCAGGGCCAGGGAGGCGCTACGGGGCCACGCAGGCGCGGCGGGGCCAGGCAGGTGCGGCGGGGCCAGGCAGGCGCGACGGGGCCAGGCAGGGCGCGACGGGGCCAGTCAGGCGCGTCAGGGCCAGGCAGGTGCAGCGGGGCCAAGCAGGCGCGGCGGGGCCAGGCAGGCGCGGCAGGGCCATGGAGGCGCGGCGGGGCCAGGCAGGCACGACGGGTCCAGGCAGGGCGCGACGGGGCTAGGCAGGGCGCGACGGGGCCAGGCGGGCGCGACGGAGCCAGGCAGGGCGCGACGGGGCCGAGCGGGCGCGACGGGGCCAGGCAGGGCGCGACGGAGCCAGGCAGGGCGCGACGGGGCCAGGCAGGGCGCGACGGGGCCGGGCGGGCGCGACGGAGCCAGTCAGGGCGCGACGGGGCCAGGCAGGCGCGTCAGGGCCAGGCAGGTGCAGCGGGGCCAGGTAGGCGCGGCGGGGCCAGGCAGGCGCGGCAGGGCCAGGGAGGCGCGGCGGGGCCAGGCAGGCGAGACGGGGCTAGGCAGGGCGCGACGGGGCTAGGCAGGGCGCGACGGTGCCAGGCGGGCGCGACGGAGCCAGGCAGGGCGCGACGGGGCCGAGCGGGCGCGACGGGGCCAGGCAGGGCGCGACGGAGCCAGGCAGGGCGCGACGGGGCCAGGCAGGGCGCGACGGGGCCAGGCGGGCGCGACGGAGCCAGGCAGGGCTCGACGTCGCCGAGCGGGCGCGACGAGGCTAGGCAGGGCGCGACGGGGCTAGGGTGGCGCGACGGGGCCCAGGAGGGGCGCGATGGGGCTAGGAGGCGCGACGGGGCCCAGGAGGGGCGCGACAGGGCTAGGGTGGCGCGACGGGGCTAGGAGGCGCGACGTGGCCTAGCTAGGGTACGGGCGGAAGCGGTAGGTGGGGGATGCTAACCTACGCGTGATATCATGTCAAAGTGAGAAACGAATGATTACTAGAAGTGGAAACCTAGAACAAATACTAGTTGGCTGTACTCACTAGAAGCATACCTCAGTCTAACCTATAACTTCTACATAGATAATATGTATAAGTTGACAAAGGGGCCACGTGTGTGTGTACAGACTCCGTCAATCTACGCAATCATTTGCGGCCCTTATTTTTCCGTCAACTTAGACGCGTCGACTCTGATTCGACATTTTGAACCCTGGGTATTTCAGACTAGTCAACTTTTGGATACTGAGATTTCAGAGTAGGCAAAATCTGGAAAATGGTCCTTCAGACTTGCGGAATTTTTTTGGGGGTAAAATCAGAGTGCATTTTTTTGAAAAGTCAGCCCTGCACCCAACCCAACCAGCCACAGAAGCTTGTCGTCTGAATGAAACATGCTTGTGCTGGAAAACAGCAAGGGAGAGGAGTGGCCACTGCAACTGCCCCCTTGCTTATCCATCCACTGACTCCCGCTCCTCGCTTCCTCACTCTCTCCCTCTCCTTGCTCTCTCTCATGGCACAAACACTTGCTAACACACACACACACACACACACACACACACACACACACACACACTCACTCACAGACAGGCAGAGACAGCCATGATTCGTGACACACACACACTCACTGAGGCACACACACTCACTTACACAGCACATGCACACGAACCCCTCCAGCCCCTCCAGCCCCCCCTCCACCTACAACATACGTTAGGACATTCTCACAACCCCTCGAACTCCCCCAAACCCCTTGAACCCCTCAGAACCCCGTATACCCCTCAGACTCCTCCTAAACCCTTCTGAACCTTTCAGTACCCCTCCAGCTGCTCGTCCTTGCTGGTGAGCGGCACGTATCGCACGGCCGCCACGCGGCTCTCTCTGAAGCGGCCACCTGGCAGCTTATCCACGACCAGCAGGTCCTGGGACCACGTGCCCACAGGTATCACCATCCTGCCCCCCACCTTCAGCTGCTCCTTCAACGCCTGGGGGATCTCTGGTGCTGCCGCACTGGAAAAAGGCAGGGGGAGGGGAGGGGAGGGGAGAGGCAGGGAAGGGGAACGGGGGAGGTGGATGGGGAGGTGGATGGGGAGGTGGATGGGGAGGTGGATGGGGAGGTGGATGGGGAGGTGGATGGGGAGGTGGATGGGGAAGGACAGGGGAATCGGAATCGGGCACGGGGATGGGGTAGCTGGATGAGGGCGGGAAGAAAGAGGGGAGGGAGAAGGGGAGTAGGGGCAACTGGCAAAGACGGCCACACCACCCCCATGCCCTGCCCCACAGGCACTGTACTGCAGAAGCACCCCAACAGCCCTTACTTTCTCCCACCTCTCCCCCTCTTTTTCCCCTCTCACCCCACGTGGATGGCGTCGTAGGGGCTTTGCTGCAGCCACCCCTGTGTGGCAAGCACCCCGCTCCCCCCTAGTCCCTCTGCTCTCACCCCCCCTCTTCCCCCCCTCCCATCTCGCTCACCCCACGTGGATGGCGTCATAGGGGCTGTCGTGCAGCCACCCCTGTATTGCACAAGCCCTTCTCCTGCCTCTCCCTTACCCTCCTCCGGGCCCCCCCACCCTCCTCCCCTCTCGCTCACCCCACGTGGATGGCGTCGTAGGGGCTGTCGTGCAGCCACCCCTGTCTGCCATCCCCCACATGCAGCGATATCACGCCACTCTCCAGCAGGTGCCCTGCTGCGCTGCGCCGCACGTCCCGCACCGACCGCTCCACCAGCTCTGATAATGAAGGGCGGGGGTCAAGGACGACAGGGGACGGTGGTGTGGGGAATGGGGAAGAATTGGGGGAGACGGCACCCGCCACTCTGAGCAGGGATAGGTCCCCTGCTGCACTGTGCCGCACGTCCCGCACCGACCGCTCGGCTCTGAGAATGAAGGGCGGGGGTCAAGCGAGTGGGGAGAGATTGCAGGAGACGGCACACATCACTCTCGGCAGGTGCCCCGCTGCGCTGCGCCTCACGTCCCGAATCGACCGCTCCGCTAGCTCCGGTTTGGGCGGGTGGAAAGTAAGGCGAATAAGGAGCCTCCTTTTTTCCTTTCTCTTTTTAGGCGCCACAAAATCTGCACAGCTCCTCAAGCCCGGCACAGGCAGCTCCACCAGCTCTGGTGTAGGGCGGTGCCCAAGAGTCCAACAGCACAACAGCACAACAGCAGCCAAGCAGTGCCAAGACAGCGCAGGCTGGCCAGCGCACCTGGTACGTGCGCCATTCCCACAGCCTTCCCCCCCCTGGCGCATTTTGAGGCGCCTAGAGGCAATCAGCGCGTAAAAACATCAGCGCCTAAAATTTACTGCGCCGAAAAAATCAGCGCCTTGAAATCAGCGGCAGCACACAAGCCCCCTCGCACCTGGTATGTGCTCCACTCCAACCGCCTTTCCCCCAGGAGCCACGAGCAGCCCCAAGCACGCAGTGAGATAGCCCGTGCCCGACCCCACGTCGAGCGCTCGCATGCCCGGCTGAGGGGAGGTGGGTGGTGCAGGGTCGAACGAACAGCACCACACCACAAGGAGGCAAGGGAAAACAGGATTCACACAGAAAGGTTTGGGGGAAACCCGGGGAGAGGGGCAGTGATGAGGGGAGGTGGTTAACTGGAAGGCATACATGCTTCTTCGCTGTTGCTTCTCGTGCCTCTCGTGCCAGCCATCCGTCCACACCTTTTCATCAACGCCTCCCTCTGACCACCCAAAGAGGAGAAATAACTTCGAAACATGCATGCTCCTCACCTGACCATGCTACACACCCAAACCTGTTTCTCGCCTGACCATGCGCCTCACCTGACCATGCTCCCCACCTGACCATGCGCCTTACCTGACCATGCTCCCCACCTGACCATGCGCCTCACCTGACCATGCTCCCCACCTGACCATGCGCCTCACCTGACCATGCTCCCCACCTGACCATGCGCCTCACCTGACCATGCGCCTCACCTGACCATGCTCCCCACCTGACCATGCGCCTCACCTGACCATGCTCCCCACCTGACCATGCTCCCCACCTGACCATGCACCTCACCTGACCATGCTCCCCACCTGACCATGCTCCCCACCTGACCATGCGCCTCACCTGACCATGCGCCTCACCTGACCATGCGCCTCACCTGACCATGCTCCCCACCTGACCATGCTCCCCACCTGACCATGCGCCTCACCTGACCATGCTCCCCACCTGACCGTGCGCCTCACCTGACCATGCTCCCCACCTGACCGTGCGCCTCACCTGCAGGTGGTTTCCCAGGAGCTCCAGGCACTGGGCGTGCATGTGCGGCGCGGAGATGGTGGCGTTGAACCCGATGGTCTGCGGCGAGTCCTGGTATGCGTGCACCCACGGGGCAGGTGGAACAAACAGACCGCGGTCCACCTGACGCATCACCTGAGCCGCCCGGGACTGCCCGCCACTGCGCAGCACGCCGATGCGCTCCAGGTGGGCCACTAGCTCCACCTGGGAGGAGCGGCCTAGTTGCCCCGATGCCATCCCGCTGCTTCCCGTGCCTCTGCTGCCGCTGCCGCTGCTGCTAAGAGATGCGTGAGACCTGGGCCTGAACGGGCCAGCGCTGCCACCGTAGTTGTAGCCGCTGCTGAGGCTGCTGGGTTCGGCGGCTGTAGCGGCCGGGCGGATTCTCAGGAGCCACACCACGTGGGCGGGGTCTATTGCCCCCTCGCTGGGCTTGCTCGGATTGCTCGGATTGCTCTCCTGGGATTGGCTGGTCGGATCCGGCTTAGCCTTGCAGTTCTCCTCAGTTGGATCCGATTTGATTTGATCCGCTTCACCCGCTCCCCTGAAGCTCTCGCTCTCGCCCGCCCCCTCGTTACAATCACCGCTCTCGCTACCAGGAGCGCCGCCGAGAGCGCCGCGCACACGCACCGCCCTGCACCGCCGCTGCCGCCACGGCCGAGGTTTTAACAGACTGGCGCCGACCAGCGCTGAGGCTCGGCGCGGATATTCGGCCTGGCTCTGCGCCTGCAGCGCGGAAGGGCGACTCCTGACAGCAAGACTTGGAAAACTAGGAAGACTAGAATCGGCCCAGAACTCGGATACTAGTAGGCTCCCGCCACCCCTCGTACTACTATTAACTCCACTGACAAGCTTCGGCGGCTCGAGCTGATGCTGACGTGGCAGCGCAGCGCTCAGCGATGACAGACGCCCTTCGCGCCTGGATTGGCCAGGCGCATGGACACGTGGCAGGCTGCGGCTCCACGAGGCGGCCTCTGCTGCAGGAGCACGAAGATTCGCCGTGGGTTCAAGCTCTTGCACTAGGCGACGCGCTGAAGATAACGGCCGCGGTACCACAACTAGAGACGAGCTCACTCCGTGGCAAACAGCCACAGGGACGCTGGTATTTGTAGTCAGGGTACGCGAGCTACGGGGCGCGAAGATATCAACGGAAGTCGCGGCAAGCAGCGGAGACTGGTGTGGCTGTGGGAGGGAATAGACAGGCTTTTGAGTCGACTCGAAAGCAGAATAAACAGGCGGGGAGGGACGCACTCTGATGATGCCTATGGCTATCACTGCCTGTCTTGTTGTGGCGGCGCGCGAGCTTGGCCGTCGACACGCTTCTTGATGCCGACTCGAGAAAGATACACATCGCGAGGGGGATGCGGGAACCGACGCGGGCCGCCGCGGCGCGCAAGGTGGAGAAGGAGCGCGGCACGGGGAGAGGCGACGGGGAGGGATGCGCCATGGCGCGGCGGTGCATGAGAGAGGACGCGCAGCGACGGGGACGGGGACGCGGACGGGAGACGCGTGGCACGCCATGATGGCGTCTGCCGCTCACTGCTCGCCGCCGCTTTTGAACTCCACCACTAGAAACGATCTGACGGCTGCAGGAAGGGCGGAAGGGCGGAAGGGCTAAAGGGCTGAAGGGCTGACCGTACCACCGAAAGAGGCTAGTTCGCTCGATGAGATGCAACCGCTAGCATGATTAGAGAGGCCATGGCTGTCACTCGCCCTTAGCCATTATTGTACCAAGAATTGCAAGCGAGGGTCCAGGAGCTGCTGCTGCTGTTCTGGCTGGCGTTTGGGATGCATGTGCAGTCGGTGCGCCTCAATAAGTGATGAGTCCAGTCGAGGCGTGCGTTGGGCATCGGGTGGGAGGAAGAGCAGGGCGGAGCACGTGCCTGCTGTGCTGGCTTCCATTCATTCGTGCGCATGCAGAGCAGATTCAGCCGCATCAGCGGAAGCGCGTTACCGTTCCCCCTCTTTCCCTCCCCTCGTCCCTCCCATCTCCGCCCCCTCCCGGCGTCTCCCCCTCAGCCCGCTCGCCCCTTCTTCCTGTCGCACTGCTCTGGTCACGCACTTGCCAGCTCAACCTTAGTTTGAGGAGGACTTCGTCCTCGGTAAAGTACGAACTGATGTTATGTGCTAGACCAAATATCGGTAATTTATTGTCCCACAACGATTTTGCATCAAATGCCATAGAAGATTACATCGCAACATAATCAAGAATGATTTTCAAGACAGATGTGATGTACACATGAAGGGGATCCAATATATTCCGTAGGATATTTAGGGTTGAGCTGTCGGAGTGGGCTTTGCGGAAGCTATTGATTGGTCTAGAACTCAGTCGGAGTAAATGTAACTTATCAGAATTGAATATATCAAACGGATAAATGGTTCATATAGTGATAGAAGAGAATGCGAAGGGTCTAACTAAGATGCACTTAACATGGGTACACTTCCTTAAGGTTTCAAATCCGACTTGGGTAACCGCATACGACTTGGGTAAATGACCATCATAGCACGTGTTAACATGGTGATTTACCCCTATCCGCTCTGATTTTCAGGGTGATTGGTGCACGCTACTCTTATTTTTCAGACTTCATAAATATTTTACCCATACATTTTCAGTATAGACCTATGTTTTACCATGTGAATTCTAAAGTAGCTTTGCCCCCAGCCCTGTGTGCAAAGGGCGACCCTAAATTTTCCCTGGATCAGTGAATACTCTATGACAAACCCCTTGGACCGCCTGTATCGTCGATACCTACGAGAATGGGGTGGGGCATTCGCTGGCCAGCCAGCCAGCCAACCCCAGTGGAGTAGCCAGCCTGGATGCGAGTGTGCGGCAGTGCAAGCAGGCTGGTGAGCATCGGGAATAATTGGCGACCAGCAACGAAAAATGCGGGATACCATTTGCCTGGCCAGTGCCAGGCATGCTTGGCTGTGAGTTTCACCAGGTTCCGATGCCCTTTGCGAGTGTTTACGGAACTGGCGTACAATGAGGTTTGCGCTGGTGCGATGCATAGCCAAGTGCCATGTCGCCAAGGAACGTTGGTAGCCTGGCAACAGTTCGAGGTGATGCGTCAGCTTGGTGCACACTGCGTTTCAAACCTGCAAGTCAGGTTAACAAATATCCTAACCCTGTCCAGAAAGAGTGATACTTGAAAACACCCAGTGAAAACCAGGGTAGCCATTCACGGTACCTTGATGCTAAAGGGTAGGGCATAGGGTCCACACTGACTAGAAAGGCTTCCATAGAACTTAGCCAGAGCCGTGTTGCCACGCTGTATTACAGGGTCAGTCATATGTCCTTGCTGTCATGAGGGGCCCTTGAAAATCCATCTGTTCGGTTGTCGGTCAACGGTCAACGACCGTTGTACTTCGTGGTTCATCATAAAGCCGAACCTGACGATTACGGCTCGAGTGTCACTTTCCGGAACACTTTCCTTCATTGCTGAAGGTACTCGAGCTTGACGCGCTTTAAGATTCTGTAGAGCTCGATGCAGTGCTGGTACTGTTGTCGTGGTAGCTTTTTGGTGGGGAAATCAGCTGCCATGTCACCAGTGGGGCAGTACGTCACATCCACTTTCCCTTTGTCGATTTAGTCATTGACGAAGAAGTATCGCAGAGTGATGTGCTTTATGTGATTGACGAAGCTGGTCTTGTTGGCGATCTTGATTGCACTTTGGTTGCCGTAGTGTAACTTGAATGTTCGCGAAGTGCTGAGCTTCGCTTCCTGCAGCAGTTCTTGAATGTATAGTAATTCATGAACAGCGGATATTGCTGCGATGTATTCTGCTCCAGCTGAGGAGAGAGCAATCAGTTTTTTCTTTTGCGAGTTCCAGAGGATGGGTCCAATAGGTTCCACTCAAAAGAGGAACCCAATGTGGGAATGGCAGTTAACGGGGTCTGCTGCGTGGTCTGCGTCGACGTAGCTAGTGAGTTGAAATGTGGGTGTGGTGATGGTGGAGTATGTGAGGCTGATGTCAGGAGCAGGGCTTATGTTATCAGGGCATTTGCCCTGACTTGACTAAAATTATAAGGTAGTTTTCAGACCAGCCCTGATTTTCTATGGGTTCGTTTTCATCCAGCCCTGACAAAATCCGGGAAGATCTCAAAGCGACCCTTGAAATTCCGAGAGTATTTTTTTGTGACCCTGATTTCTTTCACTACCTATACAGCCCCCCCTCTCTGCGCACCCCTTACAATGCAGGTTTCTCCCTCTCTCCTAACACCCGTCACACTTCCTAATACACGGCTACCAGGCTACTAATTGAGAAGGAGTCCTCTCCACACACCCCTCGAACACATGTGACTCCGATGTGCTACAGAGCCCTCCGAGCATTTCTTCGGCTGGCCCTGAAAAACAAGGTAGTGCAGCTTAGGACCCTGGGATTTCAGGGTGATATTCGAAAGGAGCCCTGAGCACCAGAGCTCTTAGAAAACCTAACATAAGCCTTGCTGGGGAGTCGAAATGAAATATAGGAGAGCTCGCTGTAGGTCTAGGAGGTTCTCCCCTTCAAGTCACAGAGAGTATTGGGCGAGCTGGCTGGCGATGTAGGACAAGTCGGGCTGGCACATGACGGCAACGAACATCAGATAGCCGAGTTGCTGCGGGTAGAGTTGATGTGCACCAGGAGCAAACGTCTTAGTGTCGGGCTTGTAGTTTGCAGCGGGTGTACGATAAGGTGTGGAGAGCGGTGCTGGCGTGAGGCTGAATTTCTTGGCGAGTGTCTCGGCATATTTCGAAGCCGAAAGGTGGATGAATTCTAGCGTGTAGGAGATGTTGAGGTCAAAAAGTTGGGCCATGGTCCTGGAGGTTATGATATCGACACGCTCTCCGAGGCTTAGTTCGAATTGATTGACCAGATCAGGGTTGGTGCTGGTGTAGAATAGGTCGTTGACGTAGACGGCGAGGAGGATGTAGTCCCCGCGGAACTGGAGACAGTATATTCCGGGGTCATGGGATAGCTGGAGGAAGCCAATGTCCAGCAGGATGCCGTGCATGTGGTGCCGCCATAGGCGTGGTGCATGCTTGATCCCGTACAGGGACCTTTGTAGTTGACAGATGCGAGGGTCCCCGTTGCCGTAGGTGTGAGGTTGCTCGACGAAAATCAGAGCATAAACTTTTGCGTATAGGAACGCATTCTTGATGTCGATCTGTCGGAGCTCTAAGTGCCGGCATGCGGTAGTGGCGAGGAGAATGCGCAATGAGGTGTGACGATTGACAGGCGCAAAGGTTAGGTTGAAGTCAACGCCGTGACATTGATCGTAGCCGGGTACGATCCATCGTGCTTTGTGGCACTCGATGTTTCCTTGGGCGTCTGTTTTGACGCGGTAAACCCATTTACCGGATATGATCTTCCTCCCTTTCACTGTTGCGCGATCCACCAAGATCCAGGTGTCTCGAGAACGAAGTGCGGAAAGTTCCGCGTCCATGGCCTTGTGCCATTATGCACGATGAGGTTCGGTGAGAGCGTGTCGGGGTGTTTTTGGCCCAATCACGGAAGGGCCCTTGTGAACTTCTGCATGGAGCGCGAGGATGTGAAGGCCGAAGAGGCTGGTATGACGATGCCCGACGTCAGTGACCTCTTGCACGTCGTTGTCCTAGTCGGCATCAAGTTGTGGATTCGCAAGGGTCCCGATGGTTCCGTTTCGGCGCACGGTGTCGCGGGAGGGGTCGAGAGGGGTGTTGTCTGCATTGTCGTCATCGTCGAATTAAAGGTTTTCCCACAGGTGTCTGTCGGGTGGGTCCAGGTCCAGGCGATCAGTGACAGCTTCATATTCTGACGAGGTGAAGCTGCGTTCTCCTTGTACATAGGCTGCTGCCCGATTGGCAGATTGGTCTGCCCAAAATTGCTTCAACGTGAGGCCTTCATAGAAGAGGATGCCTTCGTAAGGGACGATGTTGGAGTGTTCCAGGTCCAGAATCGTCCATGCTTGGTACTCGTAAGAGATGCCGAGGTGGACGCTCAAGCGAGCCCGCCTTTCGAACTTTCTAGTGGTGGCCTGATGAGGTTGATACTGGACCATGCAGCCCGAGACTCGCAACATGGTAGTGTCAGCTGGCTTTCCTATCCAGGCCAAGAAGGTGGATTGATTCTTTTCATTCGCAGTGGTGGACAATAGGTTGTGCAAACGTACTGCGTGGTGCATTGCATAGGGCCAGTAGTTCGTAGGCAGTCCAGAATGGAGCATAATCGCCCTCAACAATGCCTGTAGAGTGCGGTTGGTCCATTCAGCAATGACTTGCTGTGGGTGAGTGTAGGGAAGGGAGAGCCTGTGCTCGATTTAGAGTTCTTGGAGATGAGACCATAGCTCTTCACTCCGGATCTCCCGAGCTCCATTCGTCTGCCAGTATTTGACTTTTCTTCCAGATTGGTGCTCAACGAGAGCGAGCCAGGGTTGGAAGATATTGAGGACGACTCCTCTGTTCTGGACGTTGACTGCCCAGACGTGGCGGTTGGCAGCGTCAATGAAAGTCAGTGTGTAGTGCTCCCCATAGAGTCCTGCCGGTGTGAGGAAGAGGTAATCGATGTAGACTTCGTCCAGATGTGTGTAGTGAGTTGGGCAGTGTGGGAGATCTGGAAAGAGGCTGTGTGTAAGGGCAGCTTTGGGGCAGACTGCGCATATGCGAGGGGCTTGGATCTCTCACTGTCCCTATCCGTTGGAGGCTATGAGAGCTCTAGGGGCGAAGGCGTTCGCCTTGAGTGAGTTGATGAGAGTGACACTTGAAGGGTGGCCAAGCCGCTGGTGCCGGACGTCTCTGGAGGCGCGATGTCCTTGGGAGAGCTAATA